ATTCACAGCCCTCATTCTCACTTGTAGTCCAATGTGGGACTCAAATACTTCATCTCTCTTCATTTACATGTCCAGCTATATTGAAGGCACTAGTATTTCACGATTTTTTTTTGGCTCCTGAAAGCAGATTAATCAACCAACCAAGCAAATTATCAAGAGAATGCCAAGAAAGAAATATCTTAGTACATGGTAATTTTCTGTTATAAACATTAAACACAAACAGTCAATAATGATTCCCAGATTTTCTTTTTCACACCACAATTCTGGAATGTCCCAGAAAAAGGAACTCCAAGCAGTCAATCAGCTTTGCAGTCCCATTTTAATCTGCCTGTTACAAAAGTGAGTTCTGAATTCCCCTTCTCTTGCTTTGCTTTAACATTATATCATTTATAATCCCCTTGATTTTCCTTATAAAAATTAGTACTGTTCAGGCTCATTAAGGTGCAATTTTGTCTTTAGGTTTCAGGGAGTAACAGCCTTGCTGAGTCTTCTAAAACTAAATTTAACATAGAAGGCTTCACATCTTGTTTTCAGAAACTCCCTGGGATCCTCTGCTTGAAAAAAAATCTTAAATTTTTTAGTTCATGGAATAAACGGTCACTTCTGTCACACTGCTGCTAGGGTTGCACATCATTAGTTGTGTCTCAAAAGTCAGAGTTTTGGGGGCAGAATACTTGAGTAAATTACTGTTTCATTGCTTTCAAAACTATGAAAACAGGAATCAGAAGTCTAATGCTTACTGATACCTTCAGAATCCTTGCAGTAGAACCCAGAGCTAGCAGCAAGAGAAAAGATAGACTTTAAGGCAGCTACTATTACATTTGTCAGACCAGAAGTAAAAGTCCAAGTAAGCAAGCAACAAATGAGTTGATGGCTCCCAATCTCTAAATAAGACAGAAGCCTACAACTCGAACACAGCGTGGACCCAAAGCTAATCGTCTTTGCCTGACCTGTTCTACCCCCACAGGGCCCAGGGAGATGTGAAACATCACCAGTTTGAAGTTGGAAGTGATTGGACTACGTTGCAAGACCTTTGGAGAATTTGATAGTGACATGTATTTTGTGATAGCATCAAGATTCCCAATCACATGAGGTGCCCATTGCAAAAAGCATTTTTCATTTGCACAAAACCAGAGACTTGAAAATTAACCTCATCCGGGGAAGCATGTCAGGACAGAATATGAAAAAAAAAAAAAAAAAAAGGTTTAAGCTGCCTTTTAGTAAAACTGATCATAGAATACTATTCAGGTGATAAAATTATGACACAGATGCTTAAATAATCCTGTACTCGGTTTGCAAAGAGGAAGAAGGCACAAAAGGTTAAAGAAGAACGCTTTTATTCAGCTTTTAGCTCTCACAGTTCTAAACAGTAAACATCATTAACAATTCACCCATGGTACCGGAGAACATAGTTTCTGGTATCAGTAAAATGTCTACTGTTCAAGGCACTGATAGTGGGAAGAAAAAAAGAAAAAAAGACAAAAGACATAACATGGATTGCTCCTATTTAATCAGAATTTGAATCTATTATGAATATGTGCTTGCTATTCAAATGCTTAAAATTCCACAAGCTACATTCACAAACAAATGTTTATACAGCTTCAGTAATTACTGAAACAGGAATCAGTGGCTCTCCTACTTTGACTTAAGAGCAAGTATTGCATTACATTGGAGTGGAATCAATTTTTAACCTACTAAAAGAAAACAAAACACAAATTACTTCAGCAGTATGGCTTTAAGACCCTGTATTTGGTTACAATATAGCAAGCAAAGTTAAATAACAGCATACAAGTGCCATATACTGTATCTTAAAAGGAGCTGTTTTACAGTATAAAAATTAGTTTAGAACATACTAAAGCCAGTTTTTGTACAAACATTTTTACAAAACTGAATTATTAAAAAAAAATCAAGAACATTTTAAATATGAATCACTCTTTACATGTTGTATGCATAAAATTACTTATCTTGATGATATAAATTAGGAATACTACAAAATATTAAAGCTGGCACCCATATACTATTGAAATGCACACATCAGAAATACTGAAGTGTTAGTTCTGCAAAAATCCTTAAGAGTCACATTTATACTTGCCAAATAGAAACACAGTGACTTAGGTTTCTAAAGGAGCCACAGTGACCTCCCGTGGCCACTTAAGAAATCCCTGTCCTTAACCTTTTTTTTTAATTTTGAACATGACATTCCTCACAAATGCTAATAAACTTAAAAGGTACAACAGTGGTTCATGCTTGGTCCATCTATCCCAGGAAACTATAATATTTATATTTGAAATGAGTATAAAGGACCATAGCCTTCACCATATATATCTCCTGGTCACAGAAATAAAGTCAAGTCTCGTCTCTGATTTACCAAGAACCTGTTCCAGAACAGTTTAGAGAACTGTTTTCTGTAGGTCAATGAGAGATGATGTTCAATATATTCAAGACATGTCCAGTGTTAGGCTCCCAAATACAACATTCCAGCCTTTGAGAGAACAAAGGAAGGAAATGTGAATTGATGCTGTCTGACTTAAAGCCCAAACCAGAACACAGACAAAGTTGTGTGAGACATTTTAAATGTGTGTCAAGTTCATTGGTATACAAATCCCAGAAACATTTTAGAAAGAAACCAAGTGTAACAAAGAATCCAGAAGTCAATTAGGTGCCTTACTCCATTGCTCTGAAGGAATGTAACAAGCAGGAACAAAACATTGCCTTCTATGTCATGAACAGACGAACGAGAGAACACCACAAATATCACAGTAGTGACTGTCTCTTATCTGCAGTACCTTAATCAACACTTAAGTTCTTCTACTGCTTATAAATCCTCCCTGTTATATCCAACTTTTTTTCCATTAAGTGACTCTTCCGCAGTTGGTGCCAGCCATGTGAAATATACCTTCACTGGATCAATATTCCAATGCTTGTGAAATGATACTGGAATTTGATGAGAAAGGTAGCCTTTTGGGTAGTCCATTGGCCGTGCCTAAGATGGAAGAATAAACCAAAACCACTAGTACTCAGCGATGAAGAACAATTTTAGAACAAGAAGGTATCACCATTCAATGGTCTCTGTATCATAACAAAGCAATGTGACATTGACAAAATAGACAAGATGGTAACAAAGGGGTTTCTACATCATTCTGTTAAATCAATTGATAGGCATCAGTTTAGATCTTCAACTCGTGCTGCAGTCATCATGCTATGAAGTACACTGATATTAAATATGCCCTATTTCTCAGGATGGAATGGTCAGCATCTATGAAAGCAAGTGATAAACAGTGTAGTTTGTATTGCATCTTTTTAAATATACAGTTTTGGTTCAATAAATGACAAAATGATTTTAAGTAATACTCTCTTGCCCCTCCTCTTAATGAGAGTTGCCAGTACTGCCAGTGTGCTTGTAGGATCCTAGTAAGGTCATAAGCAGCAGAAATATATGAAGTTTTATGATGGGGAAAGGTTACCAAATGCAGCAAATATTGTGGAGCTGGAAAACTGCATTGTTATTCTTTATCAGGTTATATCAAAAAAGACAGAATTAACAACACAGCCACATGATGCAGCTGATTTCTTAATGCACCAAGCATGTTTCATTTCCTCTGACAGTTTAATGGCATGTAAGCGCACCATTATATAAAAAAGCCCCACCTGTACTGGTCCCTGGTAAAATAACTAGATTTTGCCATTGTAAATGGAGTTTTTGTAGAGAGAAATGCATGAAAGGCACATATGCATTGTTTTCCTAGATGTAAAACACAAGAAGAAAATTGAGTGATTTGGATACCGAATCACTGATTTGATGCCTAAGCTAGTAACTGATTTAATACCGCACCCTTCACCTACTTATGGAGGCATTAATGAATGCTACATTCTGCGTTCTTCATGCAGTTCTGTACACACTCCAGTCATTAGGCAACATCTAGTCATGAGGCAACAAATTAGGCAACAGAATGTGACATTAAGAAATCTGAATATACATACTTTTTTAATTTTTATATTTAAACCGCAGAGTGCTTATTTTTAAAAATTCCACTGGAGAAATCTCCCTCAAGGCTTTTGAAAAAACTTTGATGAATATTTTGGTTCCAAAAACCCGAAGAATTTACTGCAATTTACTGCAAATTGGATAGAGACAGTTTTTAGATATCTGAGACCAAAGTTTTTTGCTGTTTGAAAAGCAATCAGTTTTTTATTGAGCTATAGACAAAGTATTGGTGTTTTGATAATCTTGAAACAATGAGATCTGCTCTGATAACTATCGTATTTATTACATTGCTCTCTGAGAATCATACTGCTTTATAGGTGGTTGACCTTAAGATATAAATTCCTTGAATTTCTTCTTCCTTATGTTTTGTGGAATCAATTATTGCAATCTTTGTTGGGGGGGAGGTGGGGGCTGCTAGAATTTGTATTTGGCATTTTACAAAAGCCAAATACATTGCTCTTGCCCAGATTTTATATTTTAAGACCACAATCCTGACGGCTACTCAACATGGGAAGATTCCTGTTCTCTTAAAGAGTCTCATCATGCCAGAAGCCTCTGGAACAGGCTACAGAATACGTGCCTACCTCAGCACATAGCAAACTGGAAACCATTAAGAAAGAGCAAGCGCTGTTACATCATAGACACTCTAAGGATGAAGATATCTTTGCTACTGTTTCATAATATACACCCAGCACAATTTTGGATTCATGTACTTCAAGGAACATTGTACATCATAATATTTCAGTCAAGTCTTTAAAAAATAATTTTCTGGTTGACAGAAAAATCCAATTTTGGTTGTCTTATTTTTAAAATATTTGTTGCATAATAGTGGAATTTGTAGAATTAGCACACTTAATTTTTTATTCAGTAGTCTTCCCCCCAGGGTTAATTTCTGTTCAAGGTATGTTAAATTAGAATTTGTTCTAAGCGACAGTGAAGATGAATTACAATTCAAGTATAATTTTCTATGTGGAAAATCAAACTGCTAGGATTTCACTTTCAAAGTGATTCAGTATCAAATGCACACTATTAAGGATTACAAGGAAGTGCTTTGTTTTGTTGTATAAGGGCCATTCCTACAAACCTGTAAAATGTGTTCTCTTTCCAACTCTCCTTTAATTAGGTGGGTTTTTTAAACACCTGTGCAAACACAAATTATTCAATAATTCTGTTAATTTTTTTAAGTTGCATTACTTGCTTTCTATACTGAAAGGAGTAAGCGATGATAAACAAAAAAGGAAAGTAAACAGATGAATTTTTTATATGGACAAGGAATTAAAATATTGAATAGTGCGTTCTTCCCATTTCTCTAAATAATAAATGTAATCACAAAGAAAACCTTAATATCGGAAAACCTGATAATTTAAATAGCAAACTTTCCTCCCCATTGACAGCTGCTTTGAATTACATGTCAATTTACTAATTTTCAAGTAGCCTATTATCTTAATTTCAGTTCATATCAGCTACACAAGTATTCCCAGTTTTTAAACTAGATTAACACCTGATAACCATCAAACATTACAGTAATTTAAATGTTGATTTTTAAAAAAGTTGTGCACTGTTTGGGCAAAGTCGCAAGTGTTTCTTCTCTTTAATGCCATGGGAAGAAGGTAAAGTGTTTATTTGGTTTACGAGGCAGCAAATCTCTCCGGGACTCAATGCATTGTGTTTTCCACTGTGACACTACAGTTAGATTGTTAATATTCTGGAAGGCAGAAACAAGATTCAAATCTATTCCAACCCACTTCTACCAAAAACTGGAGAATATACTCACAAGAAAATTATGTTTTGTGACCTCTTTTTACCCTTGTGCTAGTGTAGGGCAATTTATCATATTTATACCATTCTTCAGAATCCACCACAAAAGCAACAGTTCTGGGAACACTTTTATATTTCCTATCTTCAGTAATGCAATATTTCAGAATAGTAAACACTGAATCAATAGAAAAATTGGGTAAGTAGAGAAGACAAATTTACTGAAAAATTTCACAGTCAGTTCTCCATTACCTGAAGAAAAAAGTGTTGTGGTGTGGGTTTTTTTTCTCAGAGGACATATCACAAGTATTCAAAGCATGTGGCTCCTAATTCTATTTGTTTTTCAAAGTTCCCACCTCTGACTGCATTTTTTATAAAATACATTTTTTACAAAATGTAGTCACAGGGTAACTGAAATATCTTATAAACTATTAGAGCATTGTAGTAATCTGTGCTTTGAGAATATTCTTATTTGCTTGATCAAACTCTTTCTGGAGAGAAATCAGGAATAGCAGCAGTGTCTTGGTTATTGTTATTATACATCGTCTGAGTTTGCAGTATTTATGAGTCCTGTTCTATGTGTATACTTAAAAGAATGACATGTATTTTAAATACTAGTAAAAATAACTCTCTGACCTGATGGAAAAGCGGACTATGTGTTATAGGGATTCCTAAGCCACTGAAACACATCCCAAGGACCATATCATCAGGTGCGTCCATGCTGTAACACCGGCATTTACTAGCAAGTAGTTTCTGAACAGCTATTCTGCTGAAAACCATCCTGAATAAAAAAAGCAAATGAAACATATAAGACAATAACTACTAGAGAAGCCAAATGACTGTAATTAATAAATACTGCTAAATGATATAAAACTGCAAGACAAAATGTAGCCCTGTGGTACAACATATCTGAAATTTCAAAATTTGAGAAGTCAGTACTGACAAGTAGTGCAAGAGGCATTTTCTGAAAGATAACTACTTTATATAATGAAAATTAATTATAGCAATTATGCCAATTGTGGTTATTCCAACAATTTCTTAGCTAGCCACCATTTTTACCGCAACTGATAATTCCTCCTGAATTTGGCCAAGACTTTACAGGGATATTCTCCCCTATCTTACTCAAATGTATTGTTCTGTTGGTTATCATGTAGCAAGTAAATGAAAAGAACTCCAAACCTGAACTGTCATTCCTTAAATCCTTGGTTATAGAGTTCTCTCCATAAGTGAAAAGTGTTCCTTGAAGCCACTGCAAGGCTCTTCTGTTCATCTTAACTTTCTTGCTCATCTAAATATCAGCCAGAGCCTGGAACTGTTAGATCATTACCACTAAAATAAGCCTTCAATACACCAGAAACATGATGATGTCTTAAATTCAACAGCTAAGGGAATATATACTCTTGTCTAGTATTCCATAGCTGCCTTTTCTGAAGTTATGTCATCCACCCAGTCTCATCAGAATACAGGGTACTCTAGCTACTACAAGTTACACTGAAAAGATTCACACTCTGAAACCGCTGCACAGCTTCATGAGTTCATTCACTACATGACAATCCTTTGCTTGACACTGGGACATGGCAAAACTTCTACAGATACTGAATGCTAAGGTGAAAAGACTGGCTGGAGAATATTGTCAGATTGAAGTTCTAGACTCCACCACTATGACTGCAACTTTGAAGACTGCATATATCATAAGAAGAAAAAAAAAAATGGACAGCACAATGGAAGCGATATCTCAGTACTCAAACAGAGAAGAAATAATAAGCTAGAGCCTTGAAAAAAAAAGAAGGAAAAAAAAAAAAAGAGTTGGGACTTGTGACCAGCACGTGTTGCTATACAGAAGGTATGACGTAAATTGCACACATTTGGGGAATATACTTGCTAGTTGATTATCTGGACTGTGTCCCTTCAGTTATATAGAATTCTTCACTTACAACGAAACTTCTCAAAATTAGGGTGTGAAGCAAGATGGATTGATTATCTGTGCTCAAGTGCTCAAACTGGAGAATGAAAATAACCCCCAGACTTCCACATCTACATGACAGAATAGAAACTAAGAGAAAAACGCTAAAAAGATATAGAAGTATAGGACTGGTAACCAACAAACATACCAGCATCCATAGAAGGTTTGTTTCTTAACTCAAGCATAAACGCTACTTAAGATTGTATCCAACCATGCAAAATAATGAGAAGGCCAGTCAACTGATTTTTACTTACTCATGGATGGGTAAGAATCTAGGAAGTTATTATAGCCATTACTTTTCACAGAGAAAGACACTAAGGATATTCAGACATCCACACTACTTGCTTTAGACACACAAGATGCACAGATCAGAGTCTTAAGATAGTTATTATTGCAATATGAGTGAACCTGAAAGTTCATATACATGTTAATTTAAGCCAAATCTTGCATACCCCTGTGTCCCATGCATGAGATGTGGGTTCACAATGATCTCCTTCTATGAGAAACTATTTTCCAGGACAACTACAACATCACACTCCTTGCTCAGCCACCTCTCCATAAATCATCGCGTTAAGTTCAAAAACAGAAGGAGAATCACTATCATTTTTCTCCATGCTCGGACAAAGAAAGAGAAAGGAAAGAATATTCTCCTTGCGGCAATTTGTATCCCTAGGTGTGCTGCTTTGGGTTCTCCTGCAAACTCCACAACAGTTCAGATCACAAGTGTATTTTTTTCAGCAACTATCGCAATTGTCTCTGCTTTGAATCACATTGTAAACCGGTCTCTGAGTATGCAGAATGAATCCTATCAGATGAAACAAGGCTGCATGACGTGTATCAAGAGAACATGTGGTACAGATAACTGGTAATAGGTACTCAGTTCACAGGACCAGTCAAGCCAAAATGACCCCTCCTGAAACATGCATGGTCCTCAGCACCAACTGTTTTGCTCTACAAATCTGTTCCCAATGGGCAGCACAACTTCTTACTAGTTAGGAGATTGGGGTCTTTAAGCATCATTACATTTTAACTGTACTAGGAAACATCACTGTTTCTGTTGCAACTGATTTGTGTTGCAATTCAAAACATTTGCATTCAAAGCAGGGACTGATGTAGATCTCAGTAGGAGTTTAAATAAATTACCCTCCGCCGCCAGTGATATAACTATATCCTCCTGTTCCCAAGCCATAACCGTAACGCTCTCCAAGAAATACTGGTTCATTTGGGTCATAGCAGCTGAGCAATTTTCGGAGCCTGAAGATACTATAATATGAAAATCCATTAGAAAAAAAATTAAATCATGTAGACATTCATTTTGAAACAGACATTGCTAGCCTAAATGGTATTCTAGTAAACAGCACAAAAATGACAGGAGAAATTCAGAAGTCCTACAAAAAACAGATACAAACTTCTAAACAGAAATTTATGCTGGCTTATTTACTATGAGATATGATTGCTGAATTTGGCCAAATGATGAATCAATTGGCTTAAAAATATTTTTCTGAAGAAGCAAGCAAAGTTTCTCAACAAAACTGAGTCTCATCTCAGAGAAAACATGAAATGATTTTTTCCAAACAACGGCAAGATCTTTGCAAATTATCTTTTCTGCCCAGGAATTGAAAAACAAAAAGGTAGATTTAGTTATATGAATATTGCTTTATCTACAGTTATAGCCTCTTCCAAATTCTTCTTCTGTCACATCATTTAGTGTAAAGTATTACCTTGAACCACTTATTCTCATGTTCATGACTATGTGATCCTGCTGGTTGATCACTGTGCCTTATTTCGCTTATACTGCAGTGTCAGTTTTCATGTGAATGGGATCTAATTTTCTAACAAAGGCAAGTCCCTGAACACTATTCTGAGTGGCTTTGACAACTCACCCTAGCTTACAGAACCCTTCTGTCACATTTATGTGAGGAATAAGTCTTAGAAAGTGTATTAGCAAGTTACTAAACCCAATCAGCTCAGATGTGCCTATACTGAAGAATCACGACGTGTGATAATTTGTCATCATATTCAGACTGTATGATTATATAACAACAGTAATATGCATAGTGTTTATCAAGTTACAAGATTACATTGTTTTTAATATCAGTCAAGGAATGCTGAAGGAAAGTGACAAATTTTTTTCCTTGAAGGAATATAAATCCACATTAATAAAAAAGCTGTATCTCTTAAATACAGAAGAAGAAATTAATATTGCTAAAACTCCTATTAACATCAGCAGTGGTCATTCCTGACATATTGCAATGTATACCTTATCAGTGTGTCATCATCCACTATGACTAACCAAGGAGTTCTGGGAGAGCTATGATTCAAAAACCTTTCCAAAATGGCAAAAGTTTTCCCACAGTGACCTAAAGGAAGAGAAATAACAGAATATGTAAATTTAAATAAAATGAGATTTTGTAATAAATAATTATTCATGAATTAAATGAATATTTTACAGCACTATACAAAACATTTTGGAAACGACTGGTAAAATATTTGAGATGCAAGTTCTTTCATTGCGCTGAATGTTATTTGTACAAATTGTTCCAACACAATTATTGCTTTCTATGCAGGAACATACTTTTGAAGGGTGCTGAAGTATGGAAATTCCTTGAATTATGGAAACCTGAAAAATAAGCTATATTCCAGCTATCCAGTTAAACTGTTGGACGATACCCGGCAAACTGCTACTCTTACTTTCCAAAACTGTAAAATGAGGAGACTATGATAGAAACATGTTCTGCTAAATACACCAAGATATCACAAGACTATAACAAAGTTGAGAGTTAAAACACCCTTTACTAGGAGTTGAGGAGTGAAACACCCTTGTTCAGAATGAGCAGGACAAGAGAAACAGGAAGTTTCAGACTTCTACTGAATCTTTTTCAGCTCTTGGAAAAACCTAATTGCAAACAGTCTTTATTCATCGAGATTACAGTTGATTGTCTAAAGCAATTAGTGCTATCATTATTACAATTACTAAACAAGCATTAAAAAATAAGTATAGGATACTATATTTGAAGCTGCTTCCTGTTTAATTTTTTTTTTTTAGAAAATGCAGTAACTCTCAGCTTAAGAAATGAAGGAAGTCCTGGCTTTGCTGATTCTGTGAAACCATGAACTTAATGCAGAATGATAAGTGAACATTTACAAAACCAAACCAAGACTTCTATATTATATTCCATGACAAAAGATGGGACAGAAATAGTATTAGAGTGAACTCAGCACAATTTATTTTGTTTAGAATGCCAGTGGCCCACAGGTCCCACTGCTCCCCACAGCAATGCTCGAAGGCCAAACGTGGAAGGTCTCTTCCCGTGGTGTGACCAGAGCTCCTGGGCAGGGCTTCTACAGGTGATCCACACATGCCCAGCAGGTCTGCTACCTCCTGAAAACACTCACTGGTTGCACATGTCAGTTTGCACCTGTGCAAACAGAAACCCCTGCCTATTCTCTCTCTGCCTCTAATAGACCCTGTTGAGGACAAAAAAAGGCAGCTGGAAAGCTGGAAATAAGCCAGAGATCAGAGCAACTGACCTAGTGGGCTGGATAAAGCCAATAGGCCACAGCTTGGACACCTCTAATTCAGAAGGTGAGTAATAGCCTGTAGCAGAGATTATAAGCCTATGAACAATAGATCAAACAAAAGAAAAAGCCCTAAAATTAATAATCTCATGGAAGCCATCATATCCATAGCTTTTTTCCTATTCAAACACAAAGGTACTTTAAAACCACATTATTTGTCATAAAAAGATCTTCCAGTCTTAACATTTAGTTTTTGTGCTTAACCAAGACACACTAGGCACAACCATGTAATATTTGAGTACCATATGGCAAGTAGTTTATGCTCAATAACCAGCTGGCACCGTCTGAAGTCTTTTGACATAAATACATGACTTCTACCATCACTAACGATCTTACTCAAGATCATCAATAACTCAAGAGTTATTACAAAGACAGAGTAATAACACCAATTTTGCCTGTTGGAGTACATCAGTGTACCATGCTTTCATACTCACAGTATTTAGGTTTCTACTACAAAGAACATTCTACCTATATCGGTGAACCGTATTCTCCATCCACCTCCTGGTGGCAGAAGCATTCTTTTGGTTTAGGCTGCACAAACGCGCTATAGAAATACAGAATTTCTAAATTATATACTATACGTGAAATACACATATCTTCCATAAAACTTACCATCTTTAGACAGTTATTTGCACAAAACTGACAACAGTCAATAGCTCACCTCTGTCAGTATTAGGTATGCCTAAATCTATAGTAGGAATGGAGATGTCTGCATAATCACTGTAGTATTCAATAAGGGCAGCTTCTCTTTCCCAAGTCTGCTTTACAACTGGTACTGCAAAACAATCGTTGACATTGAAAACTAAGTAATTTGATTAAAATAAGTACTTGATCAAAATGTTTATGCACCTTGTCAACTGATATATTCCTTCACATGGTAATGAAAATGCTGTTTCAAATATAGCATCATGGTTCTAAACATTCATTCTTTTTTCTTTCTTACAATATTTAGAGAGAAACAATTTTACATTTTTATGAAAGCCAGTCAGGGCAGTTTTATTTATATAGTAATAAATTTTCTTTTAATATGACTATAGTTTAATTCATATTATATTGAAAACTGTGATGTTTACATTTTTGCTAACCCACATATGGAATTCATTACTTTTACACTTGCTATGGTAGACTTTATAGCACACATCAGCATGCACACTATCAGAGATCAATCATTCTTCCAGTATTGAAACTGTCACATTTTAAAAACAGCACATCCAACTGTACAGCATGTAAAATATTCTGAATCAGAAACAGACCAAATGCACCTTTTGAAATACTGTGCTTGTGTTATATACATCATATCTGACAGCAACATCATGTTAATCATAGAGTCATAGAATTGTTTAGGTTGGAAAAGACCTTTAAGATCATCAGGTCCAACCATTAACCTAACATTAAGCAACCTCCTTAGCAACCTCCCTCTCACAGTGAATGCAGTTTATGGCAGGATCCATACAAGATAGTCTTATTTTGCTTTTGCATGATCAAACGCCACTGCAGCGGAACGGGTACGGTGAGAGGCATACTCCAGGGTATCTGGAAGGCATCCCAGCACAAGCACAGCTCAACCTGCTGGATGCCAACCTGAGCACAAGTAGTGGCTTCTCGCTCTTACAGTGAAAACAGGAGCAGAAAGAGAATCATAGAATCATAGAATCATTTAGGTTGGAAAAGACCTTTAAGATCATCCAGTCCAACCACTAACCCAACACTACCAAGTCCACCACTAAACCAATTAAGGGTAGAGTAGCAACCCCATGCCTCCTGGCTTGGTGGCTGGATCATTTATAATGAAAGTAAAAACTAGGAATCATTAAGATTGGGACCAAGCTGAACACAGGTGACATGGCCACGGTCAGGAATGAAAGTTTCAGAGGCTGCAAAAAGCCAATTAGATAAATCCACAGAAGAAAAATCCATGGAGAGTTGTTAATGCTCAAAAGCACCTGCCTCTGGAGACACACTCACAGAAGGACATTTATAGATATCATACAACCAATTTTTATCCCATGGAGATTCTTTTCAAAGAGGACTGCTTAATGCTTCTTTAAAAGAGCAATTCTTGTCTTATTAGTTTGCCATTTGACATAAACATTTTAAATTGATCATATAAAATTGTAATAATGATGCTACAGATGTTCAAATTATACCCAGAAGTGAATAAATCATGGGTAACACAAAAACAGTCTAATGCCTGCAGGGGGTTTGGAAGACAATGATCAGATGAAAATAAATTATTTTTTTCCATTTTAAAAATTAAATGGTCAGGACTTAGATGAACAACTACTCTGAAACATCGTGCATTCTGCTGTCATTGTTTCTCCACTTTACATTCTTTGACACCACCCAGTAGGTCTCATTAGTAGTAGCTAGCTCTCTAAATGGAGGAAATATTTACATAACTTCCCATTGTTGCTATATAACTCCGATGCTTGTGAACAACTCATTTTAGCCCCTTGCTGGAATCATCCATCACCTAACTTGATGTTTGCTGCCTACCTACTTGCTCACTTTCCTCTACTCTGATCACATAGAGATTTGTAGGATTTATTATTCTTGATTGACCAATAGTCAGTTTGATAAGACTAAAATGAATTGAAAGGTTACTGTCAGAATAGAGCAATAAGAACTCAGTACACTAATGGAAAGGCTTTAATATTAGGATAAAATATAATTCCACTTCGGTAGCATTGTGCAATGGACGATGCCGCTTTTAAAAGTTTTAGATGCTTGAAACTGGTCTGAAATTTTTGCATTAAAAAATCTGAAGCAAATTACGTACAAAAAATATGTTCATATAACATGACAGTGGAGTTCTGAAATGCAAAGCTGGGAATTTCACAATACATTAACTCTACCTCCTATGTACTAAAAAGTCACATTACATCATATAACAACTGCATAATCATGCATTAATTGACAGAGAATGCCATGTAAATTTTTTTTTCCCAAACAAAATAAAAAACCCAAGTAGGCAGGAAATTACTTTTTTATTTTGTGGAAATGTTCTATTTCAAAAGTGTTTCTTAGAAGAACAAAATCAGAAAGCTTTCAGAAAGGCCCCAGTACAGAAGCATCACAGGTATACAAAATACTTCCAACCTCCACATGGCAGAAGAGATACACCTGTAAAGGCTGTTTCACCTTTCTCTGACCAAGGACCTCAACCTCAGTAGGGTGCTTTAACATACAGAACTATTTGCTGTTACGGACTGAGCCTCTCAGTTTCTTCAGTGGAGTCCCTCTTTTTTGTATAAATGAAAAGAGTTCACTGAAGCAAGGACCTGAGTCTCACCTCATTTAAGTGGTCTAACAAGGGGGCTACTAGCTAAAGTGCCTTTCTCTTTTCCTTGCTTGTTTTGATGGAAGTGTCACCATCCAGACTAATGTCTATTGGAAATTGAATCCCACAATACTTCATAATTTCTAACAACTCATATGTTCCAAAGAAAGAACAACTATTTGAAATTTCTGACAAGGTGTTGATGCAAATATTTATCAATATGTACTAATACTTGTGATCACATGGAATTTTTAATATCGCACTACATAGATACTTATAGAAGGACAGCTCTAAGCTCTTATATTTTATTTGTGCTACTGCTAGGACCGTGATGCATGTTTGCAGTCTTGAAATTTTCTTATATAACAATATACAGTATGTGTATGAAGGAGTTCCAAAGTAAAATTTAGCAGCTCTTGCACATCGAATTCCAAGCCTTGATTTTGTACTAATGTAGTTTTTGGCATACAATAAAAAATGACTTACCCGGTAAAAGGAGCTCTCTGAAGCTGGCATCCATTAATCTTTCAAAATCTTGAGTAAGATTATCCTCTATTGCATAACACTGGAAGCTGTGAGGAAAGTTCAAGAATTTTCCTCAGTCTTCAAGAGGTGTTTCTTGAACGATGTTTACACTAACTTTTTGAAGCCTTATGTTCTTTACTGACTTTCTAGTTTTTTATTTTTTGATTGTAATTTTGATGTCAGAAAACAAACATGGATCCAGAAAGGAGAACTCTTCAGTGAACTCCAATTACAGGATAGTCAAATTTGATTTGTCAAAAGCTACTTGCTAAAGATATCCTAAGGATTAGGTGATTAAAATACTGGAAATGTGCCTTAATCAAATGCAGTATTATTAAGAAAAAAATTACATAAATCTTACTTTCAAAAAAAAAAAAAAAGAACAACTGGCAAATAGTCTAAATACAGAAGTGACAGACCCTACAGCTTTGGATGCATTAGCAGAGTGGGATTTGGTCAAAAAAAGAGCTTTTATTTTCAACTTGTCCACTAACAAAAACCCCCACAAAATGTGGTATAACTACTAGCCATTACTTAATTTTCCATTTTTTTGCCAATAACAATCACTTTAAATTAAGCCTATGAACAAAGTAAGCCTAATGGCGACAATATTACTTACCTGGAGTATTCAAGGACACACAAAATTCAAGTAAATACGTGGAAATAAATCCATTCCTGAATTTCTTTATTGACAAAATGTCTAGAAGTAAACTAGAATGGACTGCTAGGTGGCATCAAGTAGCTAGAGTGTCTTCTGTTATTCAGTGGATTTGGAATTTTTCCTTCCAAGTTTTGTACACACTGGACCTACCTCAACTTAGCTGAACCTTACTGTGTATTAGCTGAAGCTGAGTGTCTCTTTGTGTCTTTGTTTTCCATGCCTCTGAGAAGGAAGTTAATACTCACTGGATGTATCTTGTTAGGCTGTGCTAGGTTTTTTTGTTTGTTGTTTTTACCATGGATATCATGGTCATATTTTCATGGTGACTTTCATTACTTGTATAACATGACAATTCCCACATGAAACACGCTATAGTGTTGCACACTTGGAGACTCCTGATCTGGGACATGGCTTGGACAAAGTACTACAGCTCACTGGATTTCTACAAGAGACAAAACTTCCCATTCCAAGCATTACAAAACACCTGTGCACGTTGAATTACATAGGGTGACAACAGATAAAAGCAATATGACAGTGTAACCTGCTCAATCTTTTATTGGGTGGGAGGGCAGGACAAAAGTAAGGAGGAGAGGAGAGAGCTTTCAGCTTGCTCATATTTCTAAAGACAGCTGCACAATTGTCACTGCTAGTACAAGGAACAGAACTGAACCAATTATCTGGGGGAAACTCACTGAAGGATATTAATAGTTGCTGTATTAATTAATATTGCAACAGCTCCAATCTACATCAATATAAGCTAAATTTATGCATATTTTTCATTTAGATATTCAGTTTCAAGATTTTTGCCAACCAATCACTAATGATGAAATATCAACCACAACTTTTTGACTTAAACATTTCACAGCAGTTCTGAAGAACTCTGAATAGCAAAAAAAAATTTACCTAAACAATAAGCCATTTACAATTCTGAAGCTTTCACGCTTCCCAGTGCATTTTGCAAATATTTAGTCCCAGAGCTACACAGACCACATGTATCAGGTTGTTTTTTAAACATTAATTTCATAAACTATATTGCATAGAACTACTACTTTGATTAACCAACAACTTACTTCTGTCACCATGAAATTTCCGACATGTTTTTACAGCAACAAAAACATCTTCCTTTTTCACTGGCTCTCCCTATACGAACAGAACAAAAATTGATTTTTTAATTGCAGGCTCTGCCTGTAACATTTTATACCATATGTGTGGACATACATATAATAAAACAGAAAATACCTTTTCATTGTATAGCATGTCAAGTAGAATAGAGTACTAGTAATACACTAGAAAGTACAATTTTGTCTCTTGAAAAAAGGTCACTAGTTGTTAAAAAATTCCTGAAACAACATTATTGAAATACTTTTTCCATTGATGTAGTATTCTAACTTGAACTAAAACACATATTATTAGGAAAAGAGAATTCAAGCTCTCCGGCTCCTGCAACTGTGACACAGGAACAAAGTGACTGGCCTTATGCTGTGGCTGGACAGTGACCCACTTGGTGTATCTGCCTGGACTTTGTATCAGGCTTGGGAATCTGCAAGCTGGGAACCACTAGTCTAAAGGAACTAGTGGTTCCCAGATTGCAGATTGTAGAACTTGCTGAACTAAGAATGATACATCTGAAAAAGAATGTTTTCTTAATTTGTTTGAAATTAAACACTATGAGAAAATGTTGGACTGTATCACACTTGGAAAAAGAAGCTTAAATGCTACACACTAGAAATCTTTGAATTTCCTCAACTGTAATACAATCATTTAACTACTTTTTTTTGTTTTCCTTTTTGGCACCTAGAATTTTGCTCTCCTGGAGGCATGGAACACTTTTTGGCCTCTAGCAACAGTTAACCCATAATATCATCCATGTATTCTCCTAGAGGTGGAAGAGATGGGTTGTACTTTAACGCACCAAATACTGTATTACATTTTATCTTTAGCCTCAACAAGTTTTAGATTCCTATCTGTGAAAAAAAGATTATCTCTACTTCAGTATCTCACAAAAATGTAAGGAGAAATACTTTATAGATTATGGGCTGCTCAAACATTGTGACAGGAAGACTCATTAAAACATAGGCGATATTTATTTGCCAGGAAATATCCTGTGCCATGAAAGGCCGAAAGCATATCCAAATATTTTCTTAAGGTTTGAGATTTTTAAAGTATTACGCATTTTAGTAAGAGTTTTACCTTTACTAAGCAAGTGGTATTTAAAATATGGAACTTACACAAAGTGGCAGAAAATTACTGAATGTTGTTGCACAATGATCAACCTTATACAAGTTCACATCATCTGTGCAGAACTCAGGCACTGGAGTAAGATGTGGTCCTTCCCCTTTCTGCCAAATATACAGGGCAATCTATCAAAATAGGAAACATTTTTATCAGTAATGAAACCGGATAAAAATTATCAGGGCATACAAAGAAATCATTTTACAGGACGAACTTAACAGGAAAACTGAAAAATATGGGATGCTGTAGAAGATTTGTCCCTTAGTTGATTAACTAGCAGCACACCTTAATTCTTGCTCACATTTCTAGAGCCAACATGTGATTTCTTTGCTATAAAAGAAATTCTGTTTTAAAAGTTTTAAAATTTGCTTCATAAAATTGCAAATAGTTTCATATATTTCAGCATGTCAAAACAACTCATCTTTAACTTTTATAAGAAGTGGTAGAGTGAATATTTACACCATCTTTTAAAGTAAACAAAAATCCTTATTGTGTTGCTCTTTTTAAATTATTTTGATAATTTGGAATAGCTAGGCCTGTTTCATCCTACGTGGCAATTTTAAGCCTTTCAAAACAGACCCATTCTCTGGTAAAAATTTAAAATGCTCAAAATCAGTAATGAAACTCTGAGAAGCTGTAAAATACAATGAACAAGAATGTAATAGATATGATATCCTATAGTAGACTCTTGTCCATTTTAAATGCAATAACAAAAAGCCAGCCAAAATTTACAGGGAAAAAGGGACAAGCAAACTAGTGATGTCTGAAGAAGATTGGGGGGACAAAAAAACCCAAAACAACAAAAAACTGAACACACTTTGTATTTACTTTCAATTCATAATTAAAAAAATATTTCAATCTGTATTTCATGGCACATCAAGAACATGTAGACTTGCCCAACATTTCTATTGCAATACTTTTATACTGCTTATAAATTTGCCAGACTAAGTATTCAGACAGGAAAGTTCTATGCTGGGTGCCTACCTCAGACCAGTTAAAAGATTAACTTCAGTTTATATAAAACTGTTCAGAAACTTGTAAGAACAAAATGAAGTTCTTAAAAATCTAAAAGGCAGAAAATAACATCTCAGTTAAGCATGTGGCTTCAGAGTTTCCCAGCTGCACTGCTATACACTCCCAATTCCGAATACTTAAGTCTCTCTAGAGGACAGGCCAAAGATGTGAAAGCATCTTTGGACAAGAGCTGTTTGAGCATATACTCAAGATGTAGGAGATCTGGGTTCTAGGTTTGCTTCTGCCTCAGTCAGAAGGTACAGCTTCTAGTTTTCAAAAGTGTGCCTACACCAATAAACCATAGATATTCTGGGACAGAGACTCTCCATGCTACCTCATGAAACTGAGTTACTGTGCAAAAAGTAAGATTCATGGAACCAACAAGATAGTGTAGCAAAGGGGAGCCTGGCTCTACTGCACAGGAGGAATGGGACTCCTTCAAGGGAGGAAAATCAGTCTTGGGTTCTAGTTCCTGTTTCCCATGTTATTTACACATGTTCCCAGTGACTCCTGCATGGAAAACAAGTTAAGTGCTTCACTGGAATATGGGACCAGACCCAGCACACACCAAAGGCAATGAGAATGAGTCTCCTTTTCACTGTTTTATGCCTACTTAGGAACTGTTAGCTTTAACCCCTCACCCCAAGCCAGAATTCAGCTCCTCTTTTAGCAAATAATGTGATCATTAAGCCATTATTAAGAGGGTAAAATATTTCCATTTCCCCAGTGTTCAGGAAGAACTCAGCACAAACCAAGAGCATTAAGTATGGTCTGGACAAGCCCAAATCATCAAACCAATTGCAGACTTTGAAGTTATAGATGATTATTTTCCTGTCCATCTCATTTAGGTCTCAACATCCTCAGAAAATCCCAACTACCTGCACACAGCCATTTCTGGAACTTAGAGGTAGTGAAATAGAAGGGACTGTTTGTTACAGGCCCTGTTAGGACTGGGGGCAGGCTTGAGAATACAATAATATTTTTGAAACTTAAGCTTCCAGATTTGAAAGATTTTTTGATAGCAAACAGCTAGGCTACAGTCACATACTAGAACACAATTAAATGATGACTTTTTAGCAAGTTGCTGATCGTAACTGGGCTGTCATAACTACACGAGCTCTAAGACCACCTCAACTGCAAAGCAAAAACATTTAGTTTGATGGCACTGAAAACAGCTTAAATTACTGTATTCTTCTTTGTAATTGAGTGGATGCAGATGACTGGGAGCTGTGAGTACAAACATGGTCACTACTGCTGCTCAGCTGGTAGTGACTTGCTAAACCACTGTAAGTCAGCTGCAGGTTCTTTCAATATAACGATGACTTTTGTAGTTTCCAAGTTCTAATTTCTCTTACCCTCACCATTATTAAGTGGTCTGTTCTTTGCTGTTTTAGCAATGCTTCTGAAAACACAGATGATCTTAGCATTACAGATGAGTTCAACAAAGTACTAAAGGGAAAGGCCACTCCGTAGGGAAGAAAATGCATAAGCATGACTGGCAGTTAAAACAAATACTGTTGACAGCACTTGGAGTAGAGGAGGAGTATGGAAATGACATGTAACACATACATGCTCATGGTAAAGAGCAGCCAATAAACACACATACACCTCCAAGGTTATCTTTTTGCCTTGTCACTACATTCACATTATGGGATATAAGTTGTTCTTGACCCTGCCTTATAGCTGGTAAACTACATAACAACAAGGGATGGGATTTCTAAAGAGCTTCCAGTACATTTTAAGATTGTATTAGTTCAAAATTCAGCTATTCAGAATTAATGTCTATCACATGAACCAACAAAGAAGCAGTGCTCCGGCAGCACAAAGAATATTTAACAATTGTAACTTAACATGAATTATTTATGAAAGTTCATAATGTGCTAAGATGTCCCACTGAATAATGAAATTTTCAACAGAAAGCCTGAGAATGGTGTTAAGCTATCGTATTTCAGAAGTGAGGTTAGAGTGCCATTTGGGGCTATAGAACAGGATGATAGACTATTCCTAAAACAATGGAAATGGATTTACAATAAAAAGACAAAGAACAGTCTTAGTCCTAGTTCATATCTAATGTGATATACAAAAAATCAATCCATTATTCACTTCCAGTTTTGAATAAGCATCAGGGAATATGCTATATATTGTGCAGTTACAAAAGGTCTAAAAAACAATCTAAAAATGAGCAGCAGCACAACAAAAACCCTTTACCATATTTGCAAGATAGGCCTTCCAGGTGGAAAGTGGTATAAATGTTACGGCTATAAGAAATAGGGACTTGGAAAGCAGTAGGGTGTAAAAAACCTGATACAGAGCACACTAAAACACCAAGGACTAGAGGCACATGTTATTAGGGCTCTGTCAAACTAAAACATTTCTTAAAACATCTATCATCCTTCATAAATTTAAACATTGCACACAACCATTAAAGATCACAGATTATATAATTTGATTTGTTGTCAATCTTGATTCACACAAGAAGGACGTAGAGATAAAAATGATTTAAGAAGGAGAAGATGGTGATTTATAAAATAAATGAGGGGGAATGGAACTGTCTATAGGGACACACGAGACTGTGCAGAAAGAATAACTACAGGGCTGAAGTAGGTTATCAATGGCAATAAATTTGAGATGAAACATGTGCAAAGAACTGCTAACGGAATAAGAAGTGGATGGAAGTAATTTTGCCAGTCGAGTGATCAACTGTTTTTCATTAAGCAATCTGTGGCACATAAAAGAAATATCTGCTAATGATTTTTTTTTTTTAATGACACTATGTTTAGAGGCTTTGTCAGTGCTGAGGTAGACTGGAATATTGGGAATGGATGAATGACTTTGAGGTAACTTACAAAAGGAATATTAACAGTGTGAAGCTCGAGGTCTTGCATTTAGAAAAATTAACAAGAGGAAAGAAACAGCTTGTTGGCTTATTTCACGTAGTAAAATGAAAGCTGAGAGGGGCCCAATTGCTTTTGAGAAATACATCAGTCAAGGAGGGGAAACTGTGAAAGAATAGTGTTGGCACAAAACCAAATCATTTAAACATGCTACCAATTTATATTCTATAAATACACTGTAGATTTATGTTGGAAATGAGGAGGTTTATAACCATTACAGAATAAAGATCTGGAACAGCAGCAGCAGTTTTAAGTAAGGTGGGTTTTTTTTTCTGGGCCAGAACCACAATTTATAGCTGAGTTTCAGGAGTTTTAAAAAATTAAAACAAACTCAACATCACTTGTAATTTCAGGCCAAAATCAGCAAGCTTTCTCCAGATTCATCCTCCCCTTCCACCCTGGTTCACGAATTCACTTTGGTGGTGGTAAAAAAGCCTGGGCTGCACAAACATTTTGAAGGCAGAAAAAATAAAAAAGCTTCAGAAAAGGTAGCACTGATCTTCTTTCAGATCTCCCCACTCCTTTCTTCTCATATTCCTGTCAGTCAGCTCACTTATTCTCTGAAAGACCTAGTAGCTACCTTTTAAAACTGTTGCAAGCCAAGGGAAAAAAAAAAATCCAGACTTCCATGCTGCAAGTTGCCGAGTTGATTGTTCACACAACAGTTGCATTTATATAGCTTGAGGAAACTAAGTCCATCATATCTAGCTCTTAGAGTCTTATTTAGAAAGTGAGTGAGGCTGGCTAGTATCTAAGATACTATTCATGTCAGCTTAAGCTTCATGGTTTGGAAGTCTCTCTCCTTCTTTATAGGCCAAGCCTTAGAAGACACCTTACTGTATACAATCATGTATGTATTCGTACATAAATGCAATTTTATTCATGATTTCTTCTATGCTTGAAATAGTTTTAAAGTATTAAAATATTCTAAAGGAAGGGAAAGAAATTAAACATGTCATTACAGCCAAACTTTCTAGCAACGTCTAAGAAAAATCTGGTATTTCCATTACCATTTACCACCATTCAAATATATAGATTTGAGACAATTTTTTCCTTCATCACACCACTGCTTACCTCATGCTTTAAATCTATTGTAAAGTCTGACTTGAGTGGTTCACTTTTCAACTTCTTTGCAAGCCTATACAATTAAAGATTAAGACATTTACTCAAAAAAAACATTAAAAAAAAAATCAGTCACTAGTGTATGCAGCAAAGTGTGGCTGGTATTATTGACCATCTTATAAGGGGTGTGGGGGAGGAAATCACACTTCTGTATTTACTGCCCCAAGAAGCAACTTGTATTTCTTTTTCATATCTTTTTTTTTTTTTCATCTGAGCACAGTGTGATGATGTTAAAATTAGTTTTCAGCACACACATTTTGATACATTCTTCCTGCCCAAGAAGAAAGTTCTCATCTGGAGTACATGGAGAGTCTGGCATGACATTTTCAACAGATTAAAAGCAGCAGTGAGTTTGAAGCTCAATATTGATCAGCATCTCAAACTTCAGACAATATTCTCTTTTTGTGTATTCCAAAGCACAGTAATTAGGCACCTTCAATTTATGAAAAAGTCAATCCTTACTACAGCAAGATGCATTCAACTTCTGAAGTCTATGAACTTTCCAAATCTCATTTAAAAACTAAGCATCTAATCTTAAATAAACATCTAGGTTGTCTCTATAGCATAAGAAACACTTCTAGAGGGCAATGCAGTCACTGTAAGGTCCGTGAATAAAACTGCAGTTTGGGGGAGAATACATTTTTAAAACGACAAGAGATGGTATTGAACTAGTTGAACAACTAGTACTGGACAACTATTAACTAGCTGACATGACATTAACGTTTAGATAGGCAGAGTGAAGCAAAATAAATCACCCGCACAGCAATGATACAGAAATCTATTTCCAAACCCTTGTCCACTAATGAATTCTTAAGTGTTTATTTGTAATTATGCTTGGAATGTGTAGAATAAGGAAGAAATGGCATGTTATCAAGGGAGTATTTTCTGTGTAAGTTTATAGTGGGAGCACAAGTCTATGTAGGCATACCCAGAGCTAGTTGCACATTACTCCGCCTTGCTGAATGCCTTGCTACGCACCTTAGATCTTCAAACTAAAGTAGACTTACATGTATGTATTGGCATAGATGCTGATAATACAGGTGGCAGCAGCAAAAGCTCAGTATAGCTCTGAAGTCAAATCCATGAAAGGCCAGCCTGCGCTGGTTGAGTACATCCCAAGCTGTCTGCCATAGCTAAGCTGCAATCAGCAGCTTCAATTCAAAGGCAGCTCAAAATTAAAATTTGACTTTGCATATCTACATGATCTGCAATAAGACCTTAAACTTACTGCAGGAACACCTTCATCTTTTACAGAGAATATTAAGCCATATGAAATGATAACTCATTAAAATAACATGGATTAGCATCTAGAAAAATTGTATAATTAAACATTCTTAATTACTATGAATAAACAAGAAGTGATTAAAAATTCAGTTCTTACTTGTTAACAAGTGGAATGCTAAGTGCCCAGCCAGCAGCAAAATCGGGAAATTTAAAGACTGTAGGATTTTCAGCAAAGGCATAATGGTGAATTATTGTAGATTCTTCATCGTATAATGCTTTACCTAAAAACCACTCCTGTAAAGGAATATAGGAAACAATTTTGTTCATCTACAGCATCCTTTTAATGAAGATGACAACTGCATTCATGCTGAATAAAGCAAACCTGAAAACAAAAACAAGGGAAACGTATTGTTCACAAAAATCTAGACAAAATTTGTACTTGGTAATAAATGAAACTAAAGGCAGTTGTCTGAATTCAACTACACACTGTATTTTCAAACTCCTGCATATGCCCTGGATTCCACCTGTTCAAAGAGCACTGAATCCCAGAATCACAGAAGGGTTGAGGCTGGAAGAAGCCTGTTGAGATCACGTAGTCCAACCCCCCTGCTCAAGCAGGGTCAGCCAGAGCAGGGTGCGCCAGACTTTGTCCCGTCATGTTCTGAATACACTCCACAAACTCTCTGGGCAACCTGTTCCAGTGTTTGACCACCTAAACTGACTAGACAAGACACTCCAAAGCATTGCATTCAGGAACTTTATATATATCCATTTTGAATTTCCATCTGTCTAGCCTCTTTTACACTAGGGAACTTAAAAAGCAAACACATTTTAAATACCTTGATCTTCAAAACAGTTAAATGAAGACGGTCCAAAGTATGCATTTGTAAAGTAAAAAATTAAGTAGTAATATTATGATTAGAGTTTTAAATAACAGTGTTTAAGAATTTACTACTGACTCTGCTGTATCTGAAAATAATTAACATTAACAAAATTCCCCATACTACTTCTTTAACATTACTGGCAGTTGTCTTAATCTTTCTGTTTAGAATGGATGTAAAACAAGCATACCCCCAAATTTTTGCAGAATAAGGACTGTAATGAAGGGAAAAAAGAATATCTGTGTATATATATATAGCAAAAAAAAAAAACCAAAAAAAGTTTTCAGGCCTACAAGTACAATGAATCAGAATTCTGAATAACCTTAACGGTTATATTAAATCTTTAAAATGTGAAGTCCTTTGCATTATGACAGTAATTCAGGCTTTTCTTTTTCCTGACAATTTATCAATTCCTGACAATTTATCACTAAAATAGATTCAGTTACAACCGTTTTTTCCACAAAAGATTCTCTTTCTCCATAGTCCCTGCCATATTTGATTCTTCCCCTCCTTTAAAGGGGCAGCTATCAGCAACAACGAAAAATTCCTTCAATGCATCAGCACAGTTCACACACTTCACATGAGATAAATAATTTACACAAAATTCAAGACAAAAGGGAAAATATTCAAGCAAACTACCGTAGAAACATCCAGCCAAAACCCCAGTCTAACCCCAAGATGACCTTGCATCTCAGTAGCTATCTTTCTATCTCCAAGCAGATGTTGCCATATAGACTGAGCTAAATTTTAGAGCTCCCCAGAGTCGATGAGAAGCAATGAGTGAGGTTTGGCCAGGGCATAGCGGAGTCAGCAAGCAGCAGGAGAAGTCTGCATGCACCAGGAGACACCTCCAGCCAAAAGCAACGGCTCAGCCTGGCAGCATACAAGCGTGGCTGCCCCAGAGGACGTTCAGCCTGGCAACTGCCTGGCTTCCAGCCAGGACTCAACCTGGCTCCCCAAAATGCACTAAAAAGGCAGCCCTCAGGAGCTACCAGGGATGCCTGTCTTGCTGCACACACTGAGTCAAAGCTATGGGGTGCTGCCTGCCTCAAGAACCCCACCTTTGCAAGGATGGCCAGGACCCATATAAGCAACCATGAGTCAAAGATAGGGGATGGCAGCCCTGCCAGGAACACTGACTCTCCGAGGGACTGATGCAAGTGTAATGTAGTACGCGTGCGTATGTATACGTGTGCGAGGTGCTGAGTGCATTTCCCATGAATTCTGCACATTTCTCCCCTCTACTTTGAGCAGCTGCTCTCAATAAAACTAAATTGAACATATCTTGTGCCTGACTAGTGACTTCTTCAGGTAATACAAATGCTGAAAAGTTATTTGCTCCCATAATCCCCATGTGCCTCCTGAGGCTGAGGTAGGTGTTCAGGACTCTGTTGAGGAAACAGCCAAAGTTAAACTGACACTACCCAATACATGGAGAAGGTAAGGGTGGAGATTTTTTCCCACCATTTTCTTAACTACCTTCATAGGAGTTGCTACTTAGTACCTACTTACTCAGCCTTTGATTTATACGTTCAGTCACAACAGACCCTGTTTTCTCCTTCCTTTACTGGAAGGATTCAACAGTGTTCACTGGGATTAAAAAACAAAATATTGGGAGGTAAAAGAAAATGGGCATACTAATTTTTATGCACAAAGATGACTGCCTTGAAAGAATCAACATAATTCTTTAGAAGCATTTGTGCACACCATTTTTTAACTCTTTTAGGGCCTCCAAGGCTTCCAAATGTTCGTAACACAAGCACACTATTCTGTTTCAGAAACAGTTAATAAGTAGTAACATTTTAATATGACAGTACCATCTGCAGACAATTTTTTTCTGGACCTCCACTTCATTATGCTACAGAGTGGAAAAAAAATCTTTACTTATCCTAATTTTGCATGCTAATTTTTACACCAAAACAATCTATGGATTAAAAAAAAAAACCCCAACCTTACTTTCCTTTCTCTATAAAACATAGAAAATTAAACCCATACGTATACCCTCCTCAGGCTTCCATGTAGTATTATTTCTGGCAATATTAAGCCACAAATCACAGTGAAGGCATTCCAGGTTACAGCCAACACTCTCCAAGCTTATTTGGTCATAACATTGTTTACTTACTACACTGATATGTAGGACAAGTCAACCTGTGCAGGCTGGCTTTACACGATTAGATTAGTTATATGCAAAGGAACTTCTAAAGTAATTTAAGGAATTATGGTAATCAAATTGCATACAGGCAAAAATGTGGATTAAAAAAAAAAGAATTAGATTTATTGCATTATGGATAACTACCATCCACTGGATCAGTTAATATATTGTGCTTCAAAAAGGGCAAAAATCACCTACCTTTAGTAAGAGCACTCTTACCTTTAGTAAGAGCACACTTTAATAGCTGAAGGAATGTGATGCAACAAAACTCAATACCAGACCTCAGGGAGGGCAGAGGTGACTTTACCTAACTTGCTAATCAAGTTGATTCTACCCACTTACTTTTGTATCCACTTACCCACAAATACCAAGACAAGTGCGCCAAATTCATCTGTTCAAGACTTGTGTCCGACACAGAGGACAGGAGATTTCAGCTGTCACATCCTCACTGTGTCTTACCACAACATCTTTTGAGTTCTTATGATTCTCAAAGACAAACTGTTCTTTAGACAGATATTTTATACCCTTTAGGTATCAACAGCTACTAAGTCATTGCTGCCCATCAGCTTGGTTTACTCATTCTGGATATCTTTGGGGCTGCAGTCTACCATCCTGTTAGGATGACAGGCAGAGGAGTAGCACATACAATTTGGTTTAACCTTACAGCCATCTTCGATTATGAAAGCACAGGTTGAATCATTCTGCTGTTGAAACAAAGAATCATAGAGGGGTTGCGGTTGGAAGGGACCTCTGGGGATCATCTGGTGTAACTTTCCCTGCTCACGCAGGGCCACCTTATACAGCAGGTTTCCCAGGACCATATCCAGGTGACTCGTGAGTTATCTCCAAGGATAGAAACCCCACAACCTCTTTGGGCAACCTGTGCCAATGCTCGGTCACCCTCACAGTAAAGAAGTGTTTCCTGACGTTTGGATATAATTCACAATCTGAGTGCTTGCCTTGAGGTCTTTATGTAAACGAGATATTCCTCACTGGTTTTTAGTTTTACTGCAGTCAGTAACGTCCTTGGTTATCAATGCAGGTCATTCTCTTAACATTCCTCCGCAGATTCCTATGATGCTTTCACACACCTGTGTTCACTCAATATTACATTCATATCAAGTCTCAACAGTTCTGTTATTAATCTCTACATATCCAGATTGAAAAGCTGCAGATTCATCAAGTATTCACATGCCCCTTGTAGAACTTTTATTGTGATTAATGTATACTGGCTTTTTATTATGCAGAATGCTGACATTTTAAAATGAATAATGAATGAGCTCATTCTGGTCTAACTCATCTTAAATTTTGTGACTGATGGACTACTACTGTATGTAAGGAATCGGTTATGGACTGTTACACTAAAATGACGATTACTATGCATAAAAGCAAAAAATTTTATTTTCCTTTTAATGCAGGTTGAAACATCATTTGTTATTGTAATAGAAGTTACATGTAATGCAAAGGAGAGATTAAAACTGACATAAGGGCAACATCTCGAACAAAAATTTTTATGTTTCTATTCTGAGAACATCACTTAGAAGTAGGTGTTTATGAAACAGAAATAAATGGATATTCCAAAGGCCTGAATATATTCAGTCAGCCATTTTGAAGACAGAGTGTTTAAAAATGTAAGATCTCTGAATTATTATCATTATTACCATTTCAGAAAAGAATTGTGAGAAAACACGATAAGGCCATGTGCCTGCAAAAGAAGTAAATATGCTAAGTGAGATGTGAAGAAGAGTTCAATACTCAGTCAAGGTAACAGTAAAGAGGCAAAACATGTTTCGCATAGGAGATTTTGGCTTCCTTTATTCCAGGCAAAGGACGGACATCAAGCTGAATTTTTTCCTGAACACTGAGAATTCTAAACATTAACAGCTTTCACGTCAGTTACATTGCCAAATTTACTTTGTTCCTTGGTGACTGCATTTTTCTTTTGTTCTGCAAGTCTTTTGGTGTTGTTTCTTTTCCAGCAGGTAAAGAAAACTGTCTTATCACCAAGACAGTTCAGAAACAGAATGCAAATAAAATACCCTACTATATTAGATCAGAGACAGTTAGTCAAACTAACATCAGTCATTCTGTCTGATGATAATCAGAACTGATGACAGAGAGGAAAACGGGGAGAGGGGACCACACAGCAGACTATATTAATCTTTTTACTGATGCTACATCATTTTCAGGATATCCACAGAAGGAATCTTTCCCCTGCTCAATTTTAACAGTTCTTCAACAGCTAGACAGGCACTCATACTGCTTCATGTTAAATACTTTACTCACTCCCAGTCTCAGCAACACAAATCTATGCTCCTCTTTTAAGCTGTTCGGATACATCTTTTCCAATGTTTGAAGCTCTGAGCCATGCAGGCAGTGTTAAAAAATTAAATTCTGGACCACAGAAACTGTTCTGTAACTAGGAATTCTAAAATTCTGTAGCTATGATTTTGTACTTCTTATGATTCCACACATTTCATCTAAAAACTGATTCAAGCACATTCAAAAGGAAGTATCTAAATTTTTATTTCACCTTAGACCCATCAAATCTTCCAAGTGTTTCTAGCAGCTTTACGACTTGTATTCTTGTGTCTTCTTCACAGAAGAAAATCCACGAGGAGTTCCTACCATAGGTAACAGAGAAACTAACAAAAGAAATAAACATTTTAGTACTAAACTGGCTTATGAACAGAATGATAGATTCAACCCCCATTCCCCAAATATAAGTACTTTGCAATCAATCATTCATTTACACAGAAAGAGAAACTTATACCACTTAGAATTACATATCAGAGGACTACAGTGAATGGATAAAAATATCGACGCTGCTGCTATCTATATAGCACCTGTTATTCCAGAAAGAAGGGAATAGAGATGCATAAAGAATGCTCACTCAGAAATGTATAGGCACTACAGGTACAATGACCTATGAATTCGGAAGTTTACAGATAGCAGTTTAAGTTACCTTCCCCTCTGTACCTTAACTTTCTTCCAAGGAGCCCCACTATTAGGCTGCACCACTGCAACAATCATGAAACTGCTTAATGACAGGTTCTCTCACAGCTGTTTGACCATATCATCATCCCCAACCAAAAAACCTCACTAGCTTTTTCAGTACAGTGAAACTAGGCAGATTGAAGGAACTCCCTTACCTTCCTCAAAGCTAACACTAATCTCAATGCAGGATTCCTGACTCCTTCAGAAAATTGTCATCCCTTATTTCTCTACTCCTGCCAGCATAATTTTTCCGCTACTTAACAATGAAATAAAGTGTTATTAATTCATGACATCCTAACGGGAAAAAAACCCAGTCTTTACTTGTCCATTTTCCTTTGCATAGCTTTTATGTTGATTCAATTAAAGAAATCATCTGAGGAGAGGGATAAGAAAATTAGCACCTATAAACATCACAGATTTCTTCCTCTACAGCATTGTCTACTGATAAAATCAGCAATGAAAATAAACAGCAGAAATTTAAGTCAGCAAAAATAAGTAAAAAGGGGTGATAGGATCGTTTATGTTTTAGGGAATGGTATTTGCCTAAAAAAAACAACCCAAAAAACCAAACCCACTATCTGAGAAATAGTTACGCTAGAACATGTGATACTTGCCTCGGCAGGTCTTTAAATTACATGCTAGAAGCACCAGATGGTTGCCAGGTGCTAAAGTAGTTCAGTCTTTTTTCATCTGGGACAAGTCATTGTGCTGGTTTTGGCTGGGATACAGTTAATTTTCTTCACAGTAGCTAATATGGGGCTATGTTTTGGATTTGTGCTGAAAACAGTGTGGATAACACAGGGATGTTTTCGTTACTGCTGAGCAGTGCTCACACAGAGTCAAGGCCTTTCCTGCTCCTCACACCACCCCACCAGCGAGCAGGCTGGGGGTGCACAAGAAGCTGGGAGGGGACACAGCCGGGACAGCTGATCCCAACTGACCAAAGGGTTATCCCACACCATATGGCATCATGCTCAGCATATAAAGCTGGGGGAAGAAGGAAGGGGGACGTTTGGAGTGATGGTGTTTGTCTTCCCAAGTAACCATTATGCATGATGGAGCCCTGCTTTGCTGGAGATGGCTGAACACCTGCCTGCTGATGGGAAGCAGTGAATTAATTCCTTGTTTTGCTTTGCTTGTGTGCACAGCTTTTGCTTTCTCTATTAAACTGTCTTTATCTCAACCCATGCGTTTTCTCTTTTACTCTTCTGATTCTCTTCCCCCATTCCACCACGGGGGAGTGAGTGAGTGGCTGTGGGGGGTTGAGCTGCCTGCTGGGGTTAAACCATGACGGTCATCTTCCGATAAAGCTACCTTTCCTCTGTGTCTTGAAATGCTATTTGATTATTCACTGCTTTCTTCTTATGATACTTAATCTGCTAAACTATAATAGCCAGAACAACTCACAATTAATTCACCTTTTTAGTTCATAAAAGCATATACTTATTGCCTACTCAACACTGAAATCTGGGCAACTTTTTTGCCATTCAGGCAAGCAAACAGGATACTATCAGCTGGGAAAGACACTTCCTAGCTGTTCCTACTAAAATTTGCCAAACAAGTACAGAAAGGGTATCAGATACCCTCATGTTTTTAAATACGTACAGTATTCAATGCCTTGTGAAGACCAAAGGCTTTTCTTTCACACTTTAGTGCGCAGCTAGAACTTTAGGAGAGAAATATCTGAATTTACACAAAAGCAGGTGGGTGAGGGGCAAGGAGAAAAATACTAGAATGGTCCACACAAAAGGAATTACTGTATCTCGTGAATATAGCACATACAAGTTCACAGAAAGAATGATCTGTTCATCTAGCTATTGATGGACAAACAATGATTTTCAAGGCTTAGTATTTCAGGCTTGCAGAGAGTCTTATGTAGACCTCATAGCACACAAACTGGGAGTTCAGACTGCAAGGAGTCACTGGAGATACTCGGGTAAGATCCAGTTTCAGGGCAATAATTTAAAAAAGGGATTTCTTCTCTGCTTAATGAATTTGGTTACTGAGAAGAAATGCAGTGGGCCTTCTGGACAGTAAGGGTACTGTGTCATAAGACATCCATTGATGTCTTATGATTACATCTTCTGAAATGAAGTGCTTTGTCCAAGTTAACATGTGCTCAAGAACTAAACATTAAGAATTATTGTAACTGTTTAGAGGCCTGCTTAAAAATGCTGACAACCACAGAACTGAGAGAAGCCATTCTTCTGAAAGCAGTTTTCAGATAAGAATGCATCTTATATCACAATTCCTAGCATCATCGGCTGCTGCAGAATGCGCTGATCCCTTAATCTCCCTTCCTCCTCTTCTGTCCACTGAAAAAACTAAACAGTACAAGCCTCATAACATCAACATACTCCTAAACTACTCCATGTCTTCATTCTGCCAAAAGTGGTGAGTGAAATAGTAGACACAAGGAACTTCATATTCCAGAATTCTCTTCAAGATGGAAATCCTCTAATTAAGATTCCTCTTCTGATATCTGAAGAATTTTCTGCTTTATCACACAAACTAGCATTTCTACTTTTGCTTCTCAGTTTTGCTATCTTGTAAGACCAGTATCTGTAAACCCCATCACCAAAACATAAATAATTCAGAAGAGGAACCACTAGTTCATTGAATCAGGAGCTAAGAAGGAAAACCAAAGATGATTGATAGTTGGAACATCAACTTCCAGTTTTTCAAGTTACTTTGGAAAGCAGAAAAGGGAAAAGCATCCAGTCTGATGCAAAAACCTCAAACCAAAACAAAAACATCCTTTTGAGAAACTCTAATAAATTATATTAAATAAATTAAACCTCAAGAGCCTGCAGAGCCTCTGGCATCAGTTTCAAATGCAACTTTTAGGCAAAGGATAGCCTTCAGTACTATAGAGCTTTATGACTTTGTGAAACAGTAATCATTACTGCCTAACAGTTTGCAACATACTCCCACGTAAATGCAGCATGTCTTCCTTGGAGCCATCTACATAA